TATGACACTGCTTTAACTTCCATGGCTCAATGCTATGGAATTCTCAGGAGGTAGTTTTGTGAGATATTTTGCCTTCTTTGTCAGAGAGCTCTGGTGCCACAACAAACTATAAATCCCAGGATTCTATAGGATTCAGTCATGATAGTTACAGGTGGTGTCAAACTGTATTAATCTACCTCCTATAATCAGGTCCTCTGGGGGACATTTACTTCAACTGGCTAGGACTAGACTGGCAATTGTCACCCAGAAGACTTTTTCACTGGCCACCTCTAGACTGTGGAATGTCCTGCCGGGAGTGATTCAACAGTTAAACATGCTGTCTGAATTTAAAAGAGCACTAAAGACCTATCTCTTTCAGCAGGTACCTAGTTGATTTTAAACATGAAATTTAAATTAGGATATTTTAATTTACACTGGATGATTTTAATATGCTCTGTGCTTTTGTGTTTTAACAGTGTTTTTACAGTGTTTAAATGATTTTATGTATTTTAATCTATTTTGTATCCTGCCTCAAGCTTGAGGAGAGGTAGGTAAGATATAAAAGTTATTATTATAATATTATTATTATTATTAATTCTGCAATGTGGCAGCAGCCTGGGGAAAATAACCAACAAAGACAGGTCACATCACTGGTGCTTTTTAATTTGGGGAGAAGGGGAGACATGCTTGAGGATTTAAAATTATGCCTGGCATAGAGTAAGTAGGTAAAGACATTCTTCTCACGTAATACTACAACCTGGTGTCATCTAGTGAGCACAAATAGGGAAAAGCTCAGTAAAGACAAAAGAAAGTACCTCTCTACATAGAACATAATCAAATTATGCAATTTGCTGCCACAAGACACGGTGATGGTTTCAAGCTCAAATAGCATAAAAAAGAGATGAGACAAATTCACAATAAATAAGGTTATTAGTGGGCACTAGTCAGGATGGCTATAGGCTACTTCCAGGATCAGAGGAACAACAGAGGAAGCTGGCGTTCTCCTCACATTCCATTTATAGGCTTATGTTAGAAATTTGTCTAGCCTAAATGGGAACCAGAATGCTAGGGTTGGTAGGCTTTTGAGCTGCTCCAGCATGCATCTATCTTTTGTTTTTATCTAGTGTGTATCAGTCAGGTCACTGTAGTAAATGCAAATGCTCCCTTATGCCATGATGAAAGGTAATGTAGCATTGTGGTTAATAGTACAAATCTTGTATATGTTTTCTTCACATGTAAAGCATCAGTGATTTCAATGGCTCATCGAGCTCAATGGGACACACTACAGAGTGAGTGTGCATAGACTGCAGCCTAATCTTAAACAATTCACTTTTTCTTAGCCCCCTAGCTAAAAAATTGGGATAATAACACTGACCTATATTAAAATGCTGTTTAAGGAGTAGTAGTGAGATTATGAATGTAAAATGCTTTGAATATTGAAAGAATATTACTAAGTGGAAACCATTTTAAACACTTTCTATATCAGTTACCCTATATAGCCAAGATCCTAATGAGGACTGGCACATGCAGCAATTTCATCCAGAAAATCCAGCTTCTGCTCACATAGCAAGGTCCTGAAGGTCTCATTACATGTGAAATGAAAATGTCAAATTGCTTGTTCTGTGGTTTGTCCCATGAGCAGTGTGAATCAAGAGGATACTGGCCAGCAACTATAAAAGTTTGGCACATGGATGTCTGGGTGCATCTACACTGTAGGAATAATGCTGTTTGACACCACTTTTACTCCCATGGCTTTATCCTGGGATTTGTATTTTTGTTAGGCAGCAGTAGAGTGCTGTGACAGAGAAGGTTAAAGACCTTGTAAAATTATAAAAGGGGGATGCAGTGGCTTAGTGGTTAAGATGCCAATTCTGATGATCAGAAGGTTGGCAGTTCGAGGTCTGAGTGCTGCATGATGGAGTGATTCCTGTCATTAGTCCCAACTTTTGCCAACCTAGCAGTTTGAAAGCATGCAAACGCAACTAGATGGGTATCATGTCAATGGGAAGGTAACAGTGTTTGGTGCAGTCATGCTGGCCACATGACCACCAAAGTAATCCTTGGACAACGCTGGCTCTTTGGCTTAGTAATGGAGATGAGCACTGCTCACTACAGTTAGTTATGATTAGACATTCATGTCAAGGGACTACCTTTACCCTTTACCTTTAAAATTATAAAGACCAGTGTTTCATAGGCTGGAGCTACAACACTTAAAGTGGTGTCCAACTGCATTACGTCTACAGGGGAGATGCACCCACTGTTGTTATATCATTGCAACAAGTGAGGAAACAGTTCATGTAATGTTGGTTGTGCCTGTGAATTAACCAGAAGGAAGGTAGCAGTGTGAGAAATCTGTGTACAAGCGTCTCATAGATGCTCAGGCTTCCTTTTAATACTTCTGTTAGCCATCCTGGAAAGATGGTCCTCTGATTAAAATAACAAGGAAATGATTAAGAAATATAGGCTCTTTTGCCAAGAATCAATGTTGTCCGCATGACTACTGGTGCTTTAAAATATAGAGTCACTTATTCCACAAACTGTTGGGTTTTTTTGTTTTGTTTTACCAAATCTTTTTTTTTGTACTGTTCAAAGCACTTAACAAAAGTGTATGTTTCCAATATGCAGAAGTAAACCAACATGCAGAAGGAGGAAGACATGTTTGTATAACATATGCAAAAAATGAAATGAAGAAGATTAATGTAAAAGCTGTATTCGAATTCTGCCTACCCACACACTTTGCTGTCACTTTTCAAGTCATGTAGATAAGCCTTCCAGACTACAGTGAAACAATACTGGAGGAAATGGTGTTCATGAAGAAGAGATATAGCTTCTCTGGAATAATTTTAAAATAAACTTGCATTATTCATAGTTATAAATCAAAGGTATTTCTGAAATGTCAATGGCATTATTATTATGGACCATACACAATTTTGTAACGCTTTACTAAGAATGTCAGCAACAAATCATATCAAAGAGTGTAGAGCAGGGGCAGGCAACCTTTTTGAGCCGGGGGCCAGGTTGCTGTCCCTCAGACAATTGGGGGGCCGAAGCACAATAAATAAATAAATAAATAAATAAATAAACATATTTTTATTTAAAATTAAAAAAATAAAAAATATGCATGCACACTCTCTGAGCTCCAGAAAAGCCATGGCAAACCCCCTGTGGAGATTTTGCCAAGAAAGCCCCAAGAACAAGTAATAACAACAATAATCAATATAATCATGGCAAGTGCCAGCGGCGGCGAAAGGACTGGCCAGGGGCCGGTCCAAAGGCCTCGGGGGGCCGCATCCGGCCCCCGGGCCTTAGGTTGCCTACCCCTGGTGTAGAGGCTCTGCAAAGTGCATCATATGCTTATATATGACATGCATCCAAATGCTTAGGATGAATGTAAGGAAAGTAAATACTTAGGATGATCCCACAGTGAGTGTATTAATTAATGTTCCTGTGTATTTGAGATACGGTATTTGGATGTTTTTTTTTTAAAAAAAATAAGAGGTTGCGTAGCTGTAATCACTCTGGAATGGCTTATATGGGAGAAGAGTCATGATTTCTCATTTCTCTTCTCTAGTGGTTCTCTTAGTGGTCATTTGTGAGCTTACAAATATGGGATTTTCTTGTGCATGCACAGAATCTTTTGAATTTTCCAGATATGACCCAGCATCTTTGGGTAGGAGCTCTAGCTTGTTCTCCTCTAAGATCTTAAATTCGTTTAATTCAAGGGAACTAAGCAGACATGAATTGATTGGTGATCACAAATTGGATACCACCACCTGTTACTACGCATATTTGCACAAGCTTTTAGGGGAAGAGAGAAATCACATATTTTGCACACAAAAGACCACAGGTTCAAGCACCAGTATATCCATATAGTCTGGAAATTTGAGAGAGCTGCTTCCAGTGACTGTGGACAATGCTGAGCCAGAAATGTCAGTGGTTCAGCTCAGCTCTATGCAACTTCCAAGGCTTCCCTTTCCCCACATTTTAATAGAGCATATAGTTACTCAGGTTTGTTGATTGGTTGCAAGACAAGAATTAAATTGCTTTGCCACACAGAGGTCAAGTGCCACCATAGCTAAAACAACACAGTCTGGTAGGGCCATTTATTTATGTGGATAGCCCTATTTAAAAAGGAAAGAGGCACAAGAGCAAGGAGAGTAGGCTGCCCCTTCCATCATCAGAACCTTGCCCAAGGTTTCATATTTTACATCATCTCTTATGCACCTGGTCAATTAGACACTTATATTTAGAATACAGTCTTTGCTTAATTTTTAAAAACTTCTGTATTATCTATTGTTTTAACTGGTATTGTGAACCACCTTGTGTTAGGTGAACAGCAAGATATAAACTAACTAAGGGGGGTTGCAGACTGCCAGAAATAGTGCAAATTGAGTCCACTTTTAGGGTTAGGGAATCATGGGAACTGTATTTTATTGTGGTACCAGAGCTCTCTGACAGAGAAGGCTCAATGTCTCAGGGGAAAAAAAAAACAATTCCCATGATTCCCTAGCACTAACCCTAACCCTAAAAGTGGACTCAATTTGCACTATTTCAGGCAGTCTGCAACCCCCCCCCCCTAGCCCTGTAGCAAATGATACCATTATCTTTCCCCACTTCTATCATATTTCAACATTGGAGGCTAGTTATGAATTGTAAATAACAAATTGTTTCTTAGATATCAATAACAGGCAGGCCAAACATTAAGTGTGCAGGATTGCAGCCATACAACTGATTCTCTTGTCTGTGTGAACACATTGTTTTGATTGAGTGCTTAACTGACAGTATAACAATCAATAGACACACAAAAGATGACAATGTATCATGTGAGAACTCCAGGTTTATTGTGCTGAATACATCAAACAGATTCCATAACTCGTGATGTATTCAGACAAAATTAGCCCATCTGTTGTTGTGTGCCTTCAAGTCATTTCTGACTTATGGCAACTCTAAAGTGAACCTATCATGGGATTTTCTTGGGCTGAGTGTGTTTGACTCACTCAAGGTCACCCAGTGGGTTTCCATGGCTGAGTGGGGAATGGAACCCTAATCTCCAGAGTTGTAATCCAGCACCCAAACCACTACACTACGCTGGCTGCCCTTGATGAATCACCTGCTTTTGCTACCTGCACAAAACATTTTAAACATTTTGGGAACTCATATTGTGTGGCCTAAAGTTTGGTTAGCTTTTGTCCTGTGACACATGCCTACTGTATGTTCAGAGATGCACATACATACACATTTTAAAATATCTGCACGACTATGGCAAGTATAAGTATAACTGTGTGAAGCAGTTCTAAGTTGTCTGTAACTTGGTTGGGTAAAGAATCAGAGAAAGAAAAATGAGAGGTCGTACCTTTTCTCCTGCAATAGCCACCTCTAAAGAAAAATATTACATTGTTCTTCTCCCCATAATCCTTAGATATTAAAGCAGGATAAAAGAGGCTTTCAAAATCAGCTTGTTTGCAGAAGGAACTGTATTTCCTACTTCACAGAACCAAAGGAGACAACAATCCTAGTGAAGTAGGTATACATATACTACCTCCACTTCTTAAAGTAACTGGATCTTTAAGTTAACTAGGTCTCCATACTTTGTATTATGGAAATACCACATGTTAATACTCTTGTTATTAAAAGCGCTTGACTTTGGCAGGACCATATCCAATATATAATATCCATCATAGTGTTTTTCCATTTACTAAAGAAGAAGTGACAACGAAATTACAGAAGCAGAAATTTCAACAGCAATTGCATCATTGAAAACAGATAAAACACCTGGTCCTGATGGCTTTACGGCTCTCTTTGATAAGAAATTAGAAGGGATAATAAAAAAACCTCTCAAAGAAACCTTTAATTCAATCATAAAAGAAGGAATTCCAAACTCCTGGAAATATGCTAATATAGTCTTGATTCATAAAGAAGGAAAATAAAAAACTAGAATGGACAATTATTGTCCTATCTCTCTTCTCAATATTGACTACAAAATATTCACAATAATACTAGCTAATAGGCTTAAAGCAGTTCTAAAAGAGATAATACATGAGGACCAAGTTAGCTTCCTTCCATCAAGACAACTAAAAGAGAATACGAGAATAGTATTAGACCTCATCGAATATTATGAGAAAAACAATGAAAAGAAATTTGCATTGTTCCTGGTTGATGCTGAAAAAGCGTTTGACAACGTTAAATGGGACTGCTTGTTAGGTGTACTGGAAAGAATAAATGTAGGGGACAAATTTCTGAATTGGATTAAGAGCATATATAAAGAACAATATGCCTACTTAAAGATCAATGGTGAAACATCAAATCCAATCTCCATACAGAAAGGTACAAGACAGGGATGCCCCTTATCATCATTACTGTTTATTATGGTCTTGGAAATACTAAATAACAAGATAAGAGCACAGGAACAAAAATAAAAGGAAAAGAATATTCTCTGAGAGCTTATGCGGATGATCTTGCAATAATTCTTGAAAACCTCCTCCAATGTATTAATAAATTGATGGATACATTAACAGAATTTGGTATTATAACAGGTTTCAAAATAAATAATGAAAAATCTGTGTTTATTACAAGAAATATGACAACTCTAGAAAAAGAATCTCTACAAGAAAAATCAAAATGCAAAATTGTGAAAAAAGCAAAGTACCTAGGTATATGGCTCACAAACAAAAATACCGATTTGTTCGATAATAATTACAAAAGGATGTGGAAAAAGGTGAAACAAGATCTACAAAATTGGGACAGGATAAAACTATCTTTTCTGGGGAAAATAGCTGCAATTAAAATGTCAATCTTACCCAAATTTAATTTTTTGTTTGCAAACCTCCCAATAATTACAAATACAAAACCATTCGATAATTGGAACAAAGAACTCAAAAAGTTCTTATGGGGAGGCAAGAAGCCTAGGGTAAGATGGAAAACATTAATTGATACAAGATTAAATGGTGGATGTAATTTGCCAGACTTATATCTATATTATCAAGCTAACACACTGGTACATCTGTCAGACTGGATTGAACTTAAAAATCAAAAACTACTAAATCTTGAGGGTTTTAATCTTTGTTTCAGTTGGCATGCCTATTTATGGTATGGCAAAACCAAAGTTCACAAAATGTTCGAGCACCATTTTATCCGTAAATCAATTATAACAACTTGGAACAAAATCAGACCAATTTTTTACTCTAAAGTACCAGGTTGGCTGTCTCTGCAGGAAGCACTATTGGAAAGAACAAAAATAGGAACAAACTGGCTAAGATACCGTGATATATCGAAGAAAGATACCCAAAGCCAGCATGTTAGGAAGGATCTAAAAGAAATAAAAGAGTTTGAAGCCAGATGTCACTGGCTGATCTATTACCAACTAACAGAAAGATTCAAATTAGATAAAAAAGATTTCAACTTCGAACTGGAGAAAAATGAATTAGACAAAATTCTTGAAGGAAGAGTGACAAAACAAATATCAAAAATTTATAAAGTACTCCTGGATAGAAAGTTAGAACAAGAAATCGTCAAAGATGAAATGATAAATTGGGCAGAGGACATTGGTCGAAATATTGAATTAGAAAATTGGCAACAATCCAGAAAAAAGACATTCCAGTTTACAAGATGCCAAAGCTTAAGAGAGAATTATTTAAAAATGGCATACAGATGACATTTAACACCATCCAAATTATCCAAAATTTATAAGAAAATAGAAGATAAGTGTTGGAGATGTAACAAAGAAACCGGAAATTGGTTTCATATGTAGTGGCAATGCCTTGAAATCAAAAAGCTGTGGGAAATAATCCATATGGAAGTTGAAAAAAATTTTGAGATAAAGTTTCAAATGGTACCTGAAATATATCTACTAAACATGACTGATAAAATAATGAACAAAGAAGCTAGATCACACTCAAAAACATTATTATATATGATTACAAGTGCTAGAACCCTAATAGCAAAAAAAATGGAAAACAAAGGAGGTACCAATTGAAGAATGGTTACTTAAATCATTAGACAATATATGAATGGATAGACTAACAAACTTAGTAGATGGAACCTCTGGCAAGGAAACTGATAAAGACTGGGAAAAAATAAGGGAATACTGTAAAAATCGATGGTTATAAGGTATAAATATATGAATATATAGAATATATAGGTACAAATACAGATATAAAAATTAACTCAAGTTTGGTCGATTAACTGAATAAAGAGTTCAGTAACCAAAGTCAAGTATTAAATGGTTGATTTTTTATTTTGGGGAACGGGTAAACATTCTTTGTTCGTAAACCCGAAACCAAGTAACAACTTGGGGAGTCTGAATATGTAATCATTTATTCTGTTAGAATAGAATTATATGTCTAACTATTGTAAAGAAGAAGAAAATGCATTGTATATTCGATTTTATTTTATAATGGAAAACTAATAAAGATAAATAAAAAAAATAAAGAAGAAGTGAGTGTCAGTTTTGTAACTGTTCACTGTCCTTTCTTGGACACAATTCAACTGGGCATATATATAAACACAAAACACTCCAGCCAGGCAGCTGTTTTAGCAAAGGGATCTAACATGCTGACATGTTCCATCTTTCACTCACTGTCAGACCAGAAGGCCTCCGTCATTTAGAATATACTCAATTGGCAAAAGATAGGCTGCTACAAACCTGGTGTGTGTATGTGCCTTCAAGTCACCTGTTGACTTATGGTGACACGGTGAATTTCATAGGATTTTCTTAGGCAAGTAATCCTCAGAAGTGGTTTTGCCAGTTTCTTCCTCTGAAATAGAATCTATAGCACTTGGCATTCATTAGCCAGAATGAAATGCTACAAAGTTACCACAAGCTGCTGCTAAATTGCAAAACCCATAGTTTCCACATAGCTTTTGCTCTGAAAGGACAGACAGCAAGCATGACAAAATAAAATATGAAGATCAAAGTAATGCTATATAATGGGTAACAAACCTCAAGCAATAAATTAAGTGACAGACTAATACATAAACCTGAGTTTTTTGGGTCAGTGTTGCTGTATGTTGCGTCCTTTTTTGTGGTCATTGGACGTTATCACACGGGGGCAAATCTGCTGGTTAATCCACA